GGCGAGAAATCAAATTTGAAATCATTTTGGATCACTAGAGACTTAAGTAGTAGTACTCTAAGCGTATTTTAACTCTTAAACGTGGTTATAATGGTTATATAGTTTTTGGATAGTTTTTAGTTGTCGGTAGGTACCCATAACTGATTTCAAACAGTACTAAAAAATAAAAATCATTTTAACAAACCAACACCGCTACATGTTTTTACACGAAGCAAACAAGAAGTACAATTCGTAAACGCATATTATTGACATAATAATATTCTTGTAGTTCACATAGAATAATATTTGGGACTCAGAGTTGAGAAAATATACATTTTACTGTAACATACAACGCGTAGGTATATTTGTTCACAAGACTGCTCATACATACCTATAGTCTTAACTCTTAATATAAAATCACTTGAAGACAGCTATTTGTTAGTGAATATTGAAAATAGTGACGTTTATAGCATGTTTCTTGCTCTCAAACATATTATCACGAAAGTCAAAAAATAATCAATTTTTCACTCTAATTACATATTTAAAGTGTTCAAATACACAAAACAAATTGGAAACGCAGTTCGAAGAAGAAAACATATAGGCCTAATACATTCAACTGCAGAGGGACAGTTGCCTAGGTTGGACCATTTTGGACATTTAGGAGTATTCAGCTAATTATTTTAAGTCATATTTCTATAGATCTATAAGTAATAAACATTCTAGTGCACTTTTTTTTGTAGTATCTAAGAATGTGAACAACAGCTTCTCATAATTAGTTATTTTTTGTAAGTTTTTACTGTAAAATGTTATTATTTTTAAAAAAATGTCCAAGTGTTTCAACTTAGGCAACCGGTTGCTTTATTCGGACCACTTGTGTTTTTAATTGGACCACCTATATAATTAAGCCAAATTACCGCCTTTGAAATATGTACAAAACTACAAAATATAGGTACCTAAATATTATGTATATTATATTTATTAATAAAATCAGATATTTTTTTTATAAAATAAATATTTTGAAAAACTTTTTAAAAACTTAAACAAGTCAATACAAACTATAACCTATTTTTTATTAATGGTTTATTTTTGGAAACTATTAGAGGTTCGATATGAGAAACTTTGTTTTTTTTTTAGAAAAGTTGACGTATATATTTCAATGTTAGTATAAATATAAATTAAAACAAATTTATAAAAGTTTAGATAATCATTATTCGTTTCCTACAGCTGGGTAATTGAGGTGATATAATTTATTCACCAGTTCAATATTATCGACTCTCCTCTTAATAATTTTCATTTATACATCGCTTAAGCGATATTTTCACAGAATGTTATTATTTTTATTTTCATATATTGTAAACACATTTTATTTGTATTATATTTTATTAAGTCACTCGCTGTTTTTTTATGAACATTTAACTCGGCCACTCGCAGTCACACCTATATCCCGCCCAGGAAACTACGAATCTGTGAAAATAACATCAAAGATATAAATGCTTCAAGTGGATAGAACATTAAATTTCATAATGTACACTTCTTAATATAAGAACTTTGCACTATCGTATAGGTGAACGAAACGAAAAGTTGTAGTGCCTATAATACCAGATCACCTAAGCCCAGTGTTACACATCATTTTATTTAAACGCGTAGTGTAGTTGCGAATTAGGTGGGCTGGTTGGCAAATACCCACTGGGCTACACTCATATTATTAAATTATTTAGATTTAGCCTTAGGCGCCAGTTTATACATATATTTAATAATATTTACATATTATCAATTATGTATAACATAATATATAATATAACATAACATATAATACCTATTGTCTAGTAATAAATTAAAAAATATAATAATAAATTTCAAGAAGTATCCGTTCTATTATCATTCATTTATTTGTCGTTTTAATTTTATAGTATATACATTTTGTACTACAAGTCAAATATGTGTTAAAAGATATTATATCAATCACTTACTCAATTGATTACTTTAAAACCTAATCAGTTTTTTAGTTTTATGCATTTTTAAGTGCCAAGGTGTTAGTTCCAAAACTCATCAAAAGTCAACTCACTATTTGTTTTCTCTCTCTAAAACACAAAATAGCAAAACCATCTTTGTTATAACTTTTAAGTTTAGATTAGGCTCTCGTTAATATTTTAAGTGTCAAGTCTAGAGTTATAACCGATATGTTTCAGACAAGGTTTCAGAACATACAACTTTTGCTTATTCGTCTGGTTCAACATAAATCTAGCAGTCAAATTATGTCACGTTACCTGCTTCTATGCAACATTAAAGTGCATATTTTTTCTCAAATCGATGTTTTTTTTTATGATTACCTATTATTAGTTTTTTCTAAATTTTTACTTTGAGATTTGGCAAGTGGTAGGTACCGACTTTTGTTTACTTGATTATTGTATTTTATGAAAAATATACCCAGCACAGGCACAAATGCCTAGTTTTATGAGGAAAGACTATATTTGTTATTATTTTATGTTTGAGACGGGTATTAGTGGATTACCATTTTTGATAATTTATTTTTTTATTTTAATGTTTTGTAGCCATCTACGAATCTGCGTATCTAATCCTTTTCGAATCGGCCACAGTATTATAATTTATAATTCCGAGCAGGAATCGGCCATTCCGTAAATGGTTATATGACTTATATGGAAATACTAACTGATTATGACTGCGTAATGGACAAATATCCAAAACGATTGGCGCTAAAAACAAATAATTTGTATATTTAGGTAGGTAGTAAAATACTGCTCAACGCACTCAATTCCTCGTATAGAAATTGGCAATAATTGCTACTCTTATCTAGCGCTAATCAGTTATATCCTTTATAAATGTTTAATTTATACATAATATCATATTATAGTATGAATGAAAATATAAAATTCAACTGTATCATATCACACGCGTGAGCGTTGATAAACCTGCACGCTACATAAAAGTATCAACATATTTTATTAAAATTATACAAAAATATTTGCTATTTAAATTATGGTTAAGCTGTTCAAAATATTATTGTTAACTTATACATGATACCCAATTCAATAAAGTATCAACAGAAATGATTAACTATTTGTTATTATTGATTGATGAAAGTGATGACAAATTACTAATAAAATAACATCTTAAAACTTTCGAAAAAGAACACTTTTTCAAATCGTATTGTTGTAGAAAAGTCTATTAAAAAATACTGTTGCCTTTAAATTATTATACTAAATACTGGCAACACCTATATATAATTAACAGAATGTTATTTTAAGTTAAACAATCGGTAAAACTATTTATAATATGTAAAATTAAAGCAGCACTTTTTATCTAAAAATCTTATAACGAATGATAACACACTATATTATATAGTAGGAACCTATGCCTACCTCATGTGTCATCGGGACAACATATTCATTTTCGCAGTGTTCTTCAACAATTAATGTATTAGGACTATTAGGCACCATTAACTATTTGTAGTATCTCAAGAAAACTAGAAATTATGTTATAATTTAAAATATAAGAAAAAATATAATATTGAAATTTTAGATTTTTAAACTAGTACCTACCGAATTAGTATAGAAGATTTGAAATTTGATTTTAAAATTATATGATTATTGCATAATATATTATTGTAATTATTCTATCATCTGTACTACATTTATAATTTAAAGTAATTTTATTATTATCGAAGCAATTTTGATGAAATACCTAAATGGCTAAATCAAATATGACAATATAATATTCTACAGATTCGGTTAAAAAATAATATCCACTTACCTTTAAGTTTAAATGAAAACAGTTTAAGACATCGTGACATTTTATTCAATCTGAAAACTTAAATTATGCCCTATACAGTATATATACCTTTATATACCTATTGGGACGTATGTATCACTAATATTGAGAAATACTGGAACCTACAACTTCCAGTGCCGTGTTCAGAGAATACCTCATGGTCTTGATATTTAAATCACCTGATTTACTGAGGTACACAAAAACTGAGATACACTCAAACCAAGATACACCTATAGAGCAGCACATCAATTATTACACCACAGAATAAATAAATAATTATTCTATATAGGATTTGCAGCAAAAATAAACGGTATACGGGAGAAATTCAGCTATTAGCAATTTATAAAATTGTATGTTTGTACCTATATAGCTCCAACTCTAATTATAACTTTGTAACATAAACATGTGATGGTTATTACTTATTTTTAATAGCAAATATATATATAGTATTATATGTAGTAGCAGATAGGATTTAACTAATTGTACTTATTGGAATACAAAAATATGTATATAACATATATATATAGTCATATATCAAATGTAGCCTTTTACCTAAGGATAAAAAAACAAATTGACAACGTTGTTTATCATTTACAAATAAATTATATATATTCTTTCTTATCAACACATATGATACAGACAAATTTTAACTTTAAAATATCTAATAATGTCTAACAATAACTGGTTACATATTTACAAAATTCTAAACCATATTAGTTCATATATAACTATCATCAAATTATATATATATGTGTATGTATATAAATATGTATAAGAAAAAAAAACAATAACATATTTTTTGTCTTATTAAATGGTAATATTGTTTTACTGTAGGAAAATCCCACTTTTTTAGAACGTTAAACATTTCAAAAGGTATTTCTTATATTGTAATTTGCCAAACTTGCGAATTTCAAGTAAGAAATTATTAAGGAACATTCAAAGAAAATTTTGCTTGAACAATTATTTTGTGAATAGATTCTACACATGGATTTCACATAGATCTACTATTCTACAAAATAATAATATTACATTGGTATGTATGTCTGATTATTTAATCAACGTCTTACAATAAAAATATTAGGAATATAATATTGATTTGTACGACTTTTTATTTTACTTAAAATAACATACATTGTTAATTAATTATTAATTGATTTACATTTAAAAACAGTAAATTCAAAAATTGTACTTGAGTTTTTTTCGAAACTACATATTTTTTAATTCGAAAAGTTAAAAAAAGACCAGTCTGCTCAAATATATAATAATCTTATTAATACTACAACTTAACAACTACCTAGTTAATGTCTGTCTATCTACATTTACTTCATTAGAACAATTTGCCAATAATTTAGCATATCACAATTTTTTCAAAGCTGCAATGCGTACCCAGCTCTGTAATTTGGACTATGAGTTGATCTGTATTGGAAAAATAAAAACCATAAACAAAAGAAGTCCGAGAGAAAATTAAAATTAAATTAAAAAATTAAAAAACATTGAAGAATAACATTTGAAAATAATATGTGGCATATATAGTACACACAATTAGATCATATTTTCGTGAGAATTGATTTTTTAGAGAGATCATTCATAAGTATAAGATAGAGGTAAGTCTATGTGAGATGTGACCTCAAACCGGTATTAGTAAAACAAGCGACCATGCCGTATTATCATAATATTAATAACGTGAATAGGTAAATTATGAACCGAATTCTTTTGTTTTATTTTTTTTGTTTTTACACTTGAAACTATTAATATAGAGAAGAATAAAATAGGACCTATGGCTTACAATATACAGTAAGAAATGTGGCCTATAATAGATTTTTTTTTTTTAGATAGGTAGGTTTTATAAATAAGGGTTGTCTTGAAGAATCCGTAGTTCACCTTGAGTGGCCACATCTATAAAAAAAAATAAAAAATAGCGAAAAATCCAAAACCCAATGTTAATAACAGACAAGAATGGTTGTTTTTATTTTGTTTTATTTATTTAAGTGAATTTTTTTTATTGAATTTAATTATATTTGTTATTGTTAAAATATATTAAGATATTAAATCGAATTAACATCTTAATTGCAAAAAGAATTTAACAGGCGATGTGTCGACATGTTTTAAAACGGTAATAAGTACAGAACGTGAAAATACTGCAAGAGGATAATATATATAGAACAAGAATTGAAATAAGTGAAAAGATTGCATACACTTAGAACGCAGACTTATATAGGTAGTAATAATAAAATCAACCACCGTAGTAATATAGTAATACCATACACGGAGTTTGTATATAACATCACTAATGTTTGTATTTAGGTAATTAGACTTTAAAAATAAAGTTGTAGGTTGTATAATATTATATGTATTTATATATATTTAGGAAGTATATATGTATCCAAAATGAACGCAACTAATATTTGAAGTCAATTTCGTTCCCTGTCAGTTAGTGCCAAATTATTATCAGGAAAATTATTGTGCGCAGATGCCAAATACATCGCACATAATTTTTTTTTCGTAAAGTGTATATTGCATCAATGCATCATACATGTTTTATTTTTATACCTCAAAGCAATTGTTAATAGAATTTTAGTCAAATTATAATATAGGTAGGTATATGCAGTTAATTAATTAATGTTTAGGTTTTGCGTTTGACTCCAAAAATTGCGTTAACAGTTCATTTTGTATTAATATAAGACATAAGTATAATTATAACATTGTATATGTAACAAAATATATAACATAGGTGTATAGGTAGAAACATTTTCTCGTCATCCACGGGTTCCCGGTCACGAAGGTGGTCTTTTGGCGACAGCAACCGCGGTTAGCGATATAATACATATATATTAACAAAATATATTATATTAATCCCGCGATTTCGAAGTTCAAAAGAATTTTCCGATAGCGAATAAAAATTCGTACGAATTCCGGAAGGAGGAGGAGGCGGCTTTCACAACCTCAAATCCGACGATGGCGACGACAATATTTTATATGTACACGGCAGTTTCAATACGAAGTAGTATACAGTAAGTATATAATATATATAGAGTATTATAAGTATAGTAGTAGTAGCAGTGGTATAGTATAGTGATAGTTTATATATACATATATACAAATAATGTGTGCATTATAGGTAGGTACTATAATAACATATATAATACAGTAGGTGGTATATTATATATGATATGCAGGGACTCAATGCGATTTCGACACTGACCTGTGTTGTTGCAGGCTGTCCTGCCGTTTGAACGACTTGTAGCACATCTCGCACCGGTAGTTGACCGTTGGCAGATGGTTGCGTTCGTGTATAAGCAGCGAATAGTGTTTGTTGAACGTCCGGTTGCAGTACTTGCACACAAACTCCATTTTGACCCTCTTGGGCCGGAGTCGGTGGTTTTCCGAGTCGAGCTGTATTACCGCGTACATGGTCGGGCCGCTGCAGCGTTCTCGCCTGGCGCTCCACGAGCTGATTACGATAATATATAGTAACGGACGTCCGTCGACGGCGGTGACTCAGGCCGAGTGTCGATCGTCTCGTTAGGAACGGGACGAGAAGGTTACCCGGGTGGGAAATATAGGTACACAACTATTGTATTAATATTATGACGTGTAGTGATTTTCAGATCGGTGTCCCGCAAATATACGCCGCCAACTAGTGCAGTGATGTATACGGACGCGTATATTATAATAATATATGTATATATATATTTATATATATATATATATATATATATATATATATATTGCAGGCGGCTATGCGGCTGCGGGGCTGCGACGGCGATGACGACGACGACGACAAGACGACGCTGTAAAAACAACACAAGCGCAAAATGAAAGTCATTGAATTTGTATTACATCGTACTATAACATATATTACAATAATAATAATATTATTATTATTATTATTATTATTATTATTATTATTATTTATGACCAATGGGTTTTCGGCGGTTACGCGCGCGTCAAAAAACTAAACACTATGTGCAATATATCAAAATATGTGAACGACAACAATAGGCGGGTGGCGTTCAAGGATTTTGAGTAGGAGTTTGCGAAATCAGACAGACGTGCCGACAATTACGTATAATGTGTATGCACCGCAATGACGCGCCGCCTACCTGCAGCGGACCACGTAATGCAGTGGTGACCGACTTGTTGCGGCACGGGAGTAATTCAAGGCGCTCCATAAACATAAAAAAAAAAAAAAAGAGGCTTTGACTGCGGGGAAGACGGGACACGCAGATATCGATGGCAAACGAAACTGGAAAAAATGTAAACGAAAAAAATCGTATTTATCTTATATAAGCGCAGACGCGACGGGTGACGCGATTTCAATACCCACGGTGATATAATATGTTGAAGAGTTTTAACATATTATACCTATAAAACAGAAGTGGGTCGAGTGACAAAAGGTTGACGAAAAAAATTAAAGACGCGCAACAACAATAATCTATAACGCCGGCAGCATTATACATCAACGGCCGTCAACAGTGGATAATATTATATTTTAGTATAATATAGTCTACCGCGGATAAACCTAATAGATGAGATACCTAAACAACGGTGTGGCGGAATAACCGCGTAGGTATGTATGGTATTAATCGTAAAAAATCCGAAAGGCGTAAGAGGTTAATAGTAATTGTGGGTACCTACACTCAATACTAAGAATTATCACTATATTATTATAATATATATTATTATGCAATACAATATAATAATATCGTTTAGTCGAAGTACCAATAAAACGGTTTAACGTTGGAAATTTTCCGACCCGAGAGGAGCGGTTTCGTGACTGTCCGACGGCTGCGGATGTTGTGCGCGGTGGAAAACGATCACGCGGAGGCGCAGAGTAAAGGGGTATAGGCGGAGTCCGGTAGCCGACCGAACACCGGTAGCCGCGGTGGCCGCCATTAATTCGTCCCCACCACCGGTAAACTACTACCGCGGTTACGCGCCGGGTCGGTCGACGAACACCGGTAGTCCATTACGACGTATTTCGCGCGCACCAACCGTAATCAACGGGTTGACACGACCAAATCGACCGCGTACGTCGCATACACGATGATATATTATTGTGACGTACGATTTACAATATATATTATAGCCGACGCTGTGACTGCGCCTGTATACGCCTGTATATCGCACGCACTTATGTAGTTAAAATAATATTAAATTATTGAGCAAACCTACCGAAGACTACCTACCTATAATGTATGATGTGTATATTTTAATGTTTATGGATCGAAGTCGCGACGACGGCGAAGCGAAAATAATATAATAGAATATCGTACGAGTAAGAAATAGAAAAAAAATATTACAGACGGACGACGAGAAAAATATGAGTGTAAGACAAAAAAAAATTATGATTTTGAAATAAAATAATATATACTAAAATACTTACAAGGCTCGCGTGTATTATATTATTCTGTACGGGTACGAATTTTATATTTCGTGCACTGCACCGTTACATGCGCGAGTACAAATAATATATTATTATATTATATATTATTTAATATCAGCATATAGTAACACAGGCACACTCTTGTAATATATCATAAGAAGACGACGGCGACGAGGACGACGGCGACGAGGACGACGACGACGACGAAGAAGAAGACGACCGCGGTAAGTGGTGATTATTGCGGAACTCACTGGACTGTAGCACACGAAAGTCAGAAGCGGTCTCTCCACACGGCGACGGTCGAGAGTGTGTGTAGTGTGCGCGCGCGCGTGTGTGTGTGTGTGTTACGGCGGCGGCGGCGGCGGCGGCGGCGGCGGCGGCGGCGGCAACAACAGCAGCAGGAGCGGCGGCGGCAACAGCAGCAGCAACAGCAGCGACGACGACGACGACGACGACGGTAACAACCGGGCGCGGCGGCGGCGTTGTTGTATTCGACGACGACGACGACGACGGCGGCGGTAGTAGTAGTATACCGCACCGGATCGGCGCGCGCGTTCGGCTGCTCCCCGGGTGCGCTACCCGATCATCGGCGGCGGCGGCGGGTGCATGGGCGCGAGCAGCCGTGGCCGGGGACCCAATGGGCGCCGTGGGAAACGCACGGAAGCCGGTGCAGGCCACGCCCGTTAGCGTTCTGGTTGGCCACTGGGCGCGCCACCACGCACACCGCACGTCGTTTACGTAGGCGCGCGGCGCGGACGCAGCGGAGAGACGTCGACCGCTTGTGTCGCTTGATTGTTTCTTCTCCCGCCGCCCTACCCTTATTACGAACGCCAGTTGTTGCCTCCGACGACGACGACGACGACGACGCCGCCGCCGCCTCAACGGTGGCCGACCGGTTTTTCCCCGGGCGGCTACCAAGAGGATACCGCGGTTACGACGGCGCGGGCTCCGCACGGACTTATATATTTTATAGGTACATCATAAACTCCGAAAACGCGCATAGTATAATAATAATAAATACCGAATAAATTATAATAATATTATACACCGCGCGGTATGAGGTGACTTGCGTATATAATATATACGCGCACGATGCCGCTCTCGAATTATCGTAGTTATAATAATAAAATATCGGCTGGGTGGGGCCGATGACTCGCTATAATATTTATTTCGGCGGTCCTAAGCTCGTTTTAGCTATTCAAGCCTCTACACTCATATGATAGCATGTTCTATTATACTACTATAATATGCTTGTTCTGTGTACAGTGGCGTACCCAGAGGGCGAACAGGGCTTATGTTTCAGCTTCAGGCCATCCACTATATTGACCGCGTTTTTATTAAATTTGATAATTTCATTATTACTTATATGGCTATATCCACCTTATATAGGTAGTACCTCGGAGATGTTTTTCCACCAAATATATATTACGCCGTGTCCTAGCGCTAATTTGCACGAGCATGCGGAAAAAAACAAAATACCTAGCCTTTATTTCGACACATGCGGGCAACGCTCTGCGTGCGGAACAGCAAGGTCTGCACAATATGAAATAGCAATAGAAATAGAAACGCACTCGTCCGCACCAATTAGGATATACTACATAATTACGTTATATACTCCTCGATTATAAATTCCAAGTATGGTATAATATATATTATCGTTATAATTATCTACCCATACAATCTAAATAACTAGGAATACTTGTTTGAAAATTGACATTTGTGCATAGCAAAATATTTAGCTACGGAAATTAGGAAAGCCAGCAAGTTGGTAACCTCACTCTATTGCAGTACAGTATATTTATTGAGTATAGGTAATAGATGTAACTCAATCTAACTATCTATACCTTCAGATGCTCACGATAAAAATTAATGTGGATTCACGCTAAACTTTTTTTAAATTTCCACTTACAACAACTTATGAGGAACATTGTGTTAAATGTTTTTTCGGCCGAGCGAAAATATTTTTGATGTTCTACATTGGCAGAACAATATATCATTTCTCTTTTTCATGGCTTTACACTATGGGTACTATCTTGTTGTAAATTCAGTTCTCATATTTGGGATTCATTAATTATTCAAAACTATACATATTATTATTATATACACATTGTATTTTATTATTTTAATATAACACTTGGGCTACCAGCCAGTACGGCCGTACATATTTTTAATACCATTAATAAAACAATTATATTGTGGTTAGGACAGTTGAGTGTATAAAAATTAATGATATCATTCAATATCTTAACGTACCATATAGGTAACATACTAACATATTATATAGTTATATATTATGTAATATAGATATTACTTCAATATTTTATTAATAAAAAAAAATTTGAAACTACTCAAATTTAATTTACTTTGTTTAGCCTCCCACCCACCAATGAAAAACCCTGGTTATGCCACTGCCATGTATATAGTATCGACCGCAATAAAATAAAATATTACATAATATGGTGCTTTTTTTTCTATTCGTTTTTAGGCGATAAACATGCCATTACGACTATTTAATGTACATAATATAATATTAGTCTATAAACATAATATATGTATTTTATTGACATAATAGGAGACATTTAGAAGAACTTATAGGAACTTGACCCTCTTGACTCTCCCTAAAAGCTATCTTTAAGATATTTTACATTATTTTTATATTTAAGTCTTATAGTAGATATAAGTAGAATTAGATAAACTTAAATATATTTAATTTAATATAATTGGTGTAATTAGTAGGTATACCTAGAATTTTTAGTTATTATATACATTTTACTGCATAATCAAAATTGTGTCAATATAATATTTGTGTAAATATTGGTATATTTTTAGACTGATGGAAGATTCCTCTTTGCTATTGTAACCATTTGGGCTAAAACCCCATCTGAGAACCTATATTTACGTATATGTATATGATTTTAATATATATATAAAGTATATAATATACCTCATTCGCCGTGGACTTGATTACCAAATATAAGTTACAATATTGTACAGTATAGATACCTCGGTATAGAGGTTAGGTACCTATGTACATTACTCAAGTTAAATTATAGAATCAGAATATATATGTATCGAATAAAACCAATATTCAATGCATAATACTTACAATGTATAATATACCCATTGCTCAAATCTTTATCCATCAATTTTAATACTCGAGATTAGAATATTTTTTAAATAATTAATATTTCTATTTTAATTCGATTTTTAAACAATAGTTGTTAATTTTCTAAAATACACTTTGAATTATGTAATATAATACTACTATATGTTATTGTTATTTATATAAGTGTTTATGCCGGTTAAATATAGTTAAAAAATAATGTCAAAATCGATTAATTTACTAAATATAACATTGATTCCTATGTAGCATATACCTTCCTATAGCCTTTTATTTTTCTTAAATATTAGGTAGTATTGTATTTACTATTCAGATATTTCAATTATTACCAGCTATGTATATAATATTATAATATATATTGTAATATACAAGTATATTGTTGTATATATCTATTATAACTTATATAAGTTGCAAGTATTATTTTACTCAACATCTATTTTTATTTTTTTTACTAGGAGCTCGCTGCAACATAGGAAATTGGGTGTGGGGTGGTATGGTAGGGGACTTTTTCTATATTTTTAGTAGGTTATTGTTAGGATTCGTAGGATATTATGTTGGTAGGGTTGAAACACGTGTTTGTGTATATGTGGCAAGGATATGTTGTTAAAAACCCGGGTTTCAACAACGCCGGTCGCGTATACGCTGCAGATTGACCGCGCCTCACCAAGCCACATCTCGATATTAGTATTGATTTTGTAATATATACAATTTAAAAATGCCTGACCGGCTAACTACCATTCTTATATTATTATGTATTTATGTAGGTATTTGTGTTACCGTAAAAAGGTAAGTATATATTATAATATATTAAGTACATACTATACTATAGTCTATACCTATATTCACTTAAATCAATGTTATTAGGTATATTCTGTGGGTTATAGTAATAATATCAGAGGCACTGTTTAAATAAATAAGTAGTATAATATGAAAATAATTTAAAACAACTTACCTGTTGTTTGAGAAATCGCAGAAACCTCTTAAATCTGAATATATGTCTTTATATCATACATTTTAAAATATTCTTCTAATATAATATAACCAACTTAAATATATTAGACAATAAGTAATAAAATATTTAAATTATACACTTATTCCTGTACTAAACGATATATTATAAAAGATTAATGTGAAGGCCAACATCGCAGTATGCCAGTATCGGACTGAACAAGTTAAAAATGCGGTGTCTTGGAATAAGTCACGATGAAGACTGTAGTCTGTAATAATAATAGGTATAGTTGCATAGGTATATATTTAGAAGTGAATTGAGAACGCCCGTATACTCTACCGGATTTTTGGTCAATACGGGTTTATCTTGATAATAATTATGAGAAATCATTATATACATCTTAATATAAATTATAATAATATTGTCACAAATGAAGCACATATAGGTACAACAGTTCGATAAATCTGAACATATTATTTTCAAAAATCACCTTGACTTTGCAATACCTAGTATACGAATATAGTAGCATACCTACCATACCATAATTGAGGAGGAGGTTTAAAGTTTTTTATAGTCAAAAATTGAATTTGTAAAATCTAATTAATTATAATAATTTACCGTGTACCTATTATAAATTTTAATAAATTGATAGCTACTTTACTATATAGTTAAGTTTCTATTGTTATATGAGGTATAATATTTTATAACATAATCGAGTGTAGAGTCGATGCGAGTTCTGTTGGCGTTTGTATAGAAATTTACTTGGAAATTTATGTCAAAAAGTCATAACTCATGAGCTGCTATATTGTAAACGTTTTGTCGACGATAACTATTTGGGTTATGGTACACCACCCGTATCTATTGCCGTTTTTCCCCGGTTTCCCCATATGAAGTGGATTTGGCGGTATTATTAATTAAAGTCTCGTTCACACGGTGACAGTTGCATGACACCAGTGTCGTAATATCAACGAAATTAGATATACGACACTAGTGTCACGACACACAATATCATTAGTGTCATACTCATTAGTGTCACCGTGTGAACGAGGCTTAATATTAATACTTTTTCTACATTCGATATTCAGTGAAGCAATATAGTATTGGTTTTGAAATAATAATATACGATTCTGAGCAAAGAATGAGTGTTGGTTTTACATTGTGTTTATTTTTCCATCGGTCAACACCTTTTGGGGCAGTAATAATACTTTGATTTTCAACTTTGGTTTATGAAAGCGAATTTAATCTATTTGGTTAGGTTAGTACTAAGTAAAAAGTAAGCAATTCAGTATCTAC